GACCTCAAAAAAAAATTAAGAAAAAAAAAAAAAGTTTCCCAAAGCTGCAGCGTGAAGAAACTAAAAACTTTATTTCCGTTACACATGGATGGACTTTCTTTGCTATAGGAAATCCACGTGGAGCGATTAGGAATGGAGACGTGTAAAAAGGGTTGTTCGGGGACAGGTGTCTGCAGCGCAGGTTAGTTGTTTTCTGGTTCACAGCCGTCACCACCATCACCACCTTCATTGGTGTCTGACGTCCATAACTGGAAGACAAAGCATAGTAAAGTTTATCAAGATAATCCGTACACGGCTCATCACACCTACGTAGTAAAATCCATACAGACTATGCAATTCCACATGCGCCAGTGTCCATTAAAGCGTATCAGCCAAAGGAGTGCAGGAAGTTCACAAGACTCCTGGCAGGAACGGTTATTTGTGCCCTCAGATGAAACTATTTAATTGATATATTTAAAATTTTCAAAAGGAAACAATTATGCAAGTTTGCAGGAAAGGGTTTACATACCATTTAAGGTCTTTCGGGAGTCTTTATCATGCTTTATGTAAAATATGGGAGGAATCTCTCATTAGGAAAATATCAATACCGTAAATATAGGTTCTCATGCTGTACCATGTATTTCTAGAATGGTTGTTGGCACTGTGGGGATCATAACCCATCTAAAATCAGGGTAGGCAACCCCAACACTCCAGCTATGGTTAAACTTCAACTCCTATCATGCCTGAGCCTTGCAATCATGGGGCTTGTACTTCAACAGCTGGAGTGCCATCCCTGACCTAAACAGAGAATTCTAATTGAAGGGTCCCTGTATTTGCCTTCAGTGAAAACCATGCTTCTTCACATATGTTTGCCTGAGGGAGACTCAGAAACAGTACAGAATGTTCATGATGGCATTGATTGACTAACCTACATGCTTTTTACCCTGGAGGTCCTGTTATTGTAATACAGCCCCTAATGCAAGCCGATGAACAACTTTCTACTAAAACAGATTACTGAGCACATTCTGAAAATGATAGCGGCCTGGCTGCCGTATATCAATACTTTTTAATTACTGACCCAGAGCAAGAACACAAGACAACTCCAGATCAGATCTGCATATTTGTTCAATGTCACGCTACTAAAGACAATCAGCACAGCTGGGCATGGAGCATGATCACAAACCCATTTTTATGAACAGAAGTCATCTTCAAAACCCTTAAATATGTAAAACAGAAAACTAGATAAAGCACAAAATAAAAAATTGTGGAAACACTTTGCTTAACTAGCCTTTCGATTTCCTACAACCACAGAAGAGGTTGGGAACATGGTAAACAAAAGGCTTAGTTTACAAAGCTTTCACACAAAAGGATAAAAAAAACAAACCTTAAATTTTAGCCAAGCGACTTCTTTTCAAATCTCATTGGACTCTTACTGAAAAGAACTATGAACATTATAATCCAAATCCTGGTGTGAGCAGAGTAACCATTCCAAACAAAGTTACCATGAATTGTCTTAAGACAGGAGTACACTTACTGTTAGGTTGTCTCTAAGTAGCTGCATGATAAGAGTGCTATCTTTGTAGGAGTCTTCATTGAGGGTGTCTAGTTCTGCGATGGCTTCATCAAATGCCTACGGGAAAAAAAAAAGTCACATTTTAGTTCCAAGGCAAAATATTGCAAACTATAAAGAGAACTAGAAAACAAATAATGGGTGCTGGAAAAAAGGAAGTTTAAAATAAGAATTAATCTGTATTAGTCTTTTCCCTCCCAAGTTCAGGGCAAGTTGTCGAGCGATCCTCTCCTCCACTAGTCAATTTTGTTACAGGTATCCCAAAAACCCAATATAAAAAAACAGTACTGCAAGAGGCGCACTTTCAATTACAAACCTACCTATATACTCATCAGAATCATAATTTGCCAGGAAACACCACACCAACATTTCTAAAAGGTCTATACAGGCATGTAATACAGGCTTACAATCATTGGTTCTCCATGAAAATGGCAACAGTGACAGTCCGGTGCTTTTCCTCTAGTTCTTTCAGTGCTCCCAAGCTCCATGGAAGCACAGGTAGAGGGGATTATAGTTTTAATTTACTTTGCAATTGTTTACTTTGTATTTAAGAAACTGGAGTTGCACAATGCAGATTTTAGTGTTTCGAAATCCATGACCAGTTCACTGGAGGAGAGATGGAAAGTTCCAGGTGAACTGAAGTTGTAATCCCAACTATCTGTGCTGGTGTGGAGCTCGGAGTGATCAAAATGCTTGGAGGAGGAACAGTAAGGGAATGTTATTCCTCCTGGAGATTACTTGGGGAGATACGATCAGGAGGATGTAATTGTTCATAAACCTTTAGAATGCAAGTCTGATTCCAGCGAGTGCTGAATCTGGTGGGAGTGCAATTGAAATAGCAGCTGCCTGGCTACTATTTCTGTACTTTGTGACCCAGGAATGGATGGATGAGCTATGGCTGATCATCAATGTACAATTGTGTAAATAATTGTGAGCCATATTTTCTGACAGCCAAGACCCTGTAGAATAAAATGGTGGCAGTTTAACATTTTTTATGTTGCACGACATTAGCGCAACATATCATCAAACCCCAAAATGTAGTGAAAAATGCACTTAAATGCCCCAAAAACACAAATACCTATTTTTTTTTAAATATAAAAGATGAGGTTACAACGAGTAAATAGATACCCAAAATGCCCAGGTTAAGAATTGTGTGCGTCCATGAAACTGCAACAAAATTCAGTACCCCATGAAGTCCATAGACGCTTTAAAAGCCCCTACAGGTCATCAGTTTAGAGATAGACAAATATTGGCCTTAGAATTATTGCTCTCTCAGGCATGCGCAGCGATACCAAATATGTGTAGCACGATCGTCGTTTTCATACGTAGGCGCACCCGATGCGTGTTTAGATGAAGACGCACGTGCTCGCGGGGGACTTGAACATTTTTAAACTTTAATTGAAATCACATAGGGGGAGGCTTACAAGCCCCCAACGTGATAGCATAGTGGTCCTCTTTAAGGTGATGCTGGGGGTCCAAAAGACCCCTAGTGTCACCTTTACACCAGAAATAAGCTATTGAAGTGCAGATCGCACTTCAATAGCCTGTAGATGGGCTTCAGGAGCCCAGCAATGACAGCTCTGGGACAGGAAGTGATGTAATCCGCATCGCTCCCAGTCCCATAGTACGGTGAGGGGAATCGACAAACAGACTTTCGTCCATCTCCTCCCCTGACACCAGAGAAGCCGATCAAGGGCCCGTAGGAGGGGCGACGAAACCCGAGAAACATGGCAGGGGGGCGGCCCGTTTACCAGCCCAGAGAAGCGATTGGGCGACAGCTGAGTCACCTGATCACTTCTATTGTAAAGCAGACAGTTGGCTTTACAATTGTAAACAAAGTCCCGATGTCTTTAGCTGCCGGGAGTCTGTTTAAACGGTGCCACTGACATACTATGGACGTCACTGGTCATTAAGGGGTTAAAGACAGGCGGATATTTAGGCAGTCCTCTGTGTGAAGGGGTGTCACTAATGCCACGCATTTCCATCCTGGACTCAGCCGGAGCGATTAATATTTGACACAACTTGCCAGTCACCACGCAGGCGACAAACTTAATAGGAGAGCAAAACCGACAAACTTGTAAAAATCTTCTCGTGGGGTTATTATCTAGAATGAAAAATCCTTGCAGGTTAATACTTACAGTCTTTGCCAGTGAACAGGCCTTTTCTGGGCTATTAAGAATTTCATAATAGAATACAGAAAAATTTAGAGCTAAGCCCAAGCGGATGGGGTGGGTTGGCTGCATTTTCTGCTTGCTGATGTCAAATGCTTCTTGGTAAGCTGCTTGTGAGTCGTCTATTGTTTCTGATAAAGCAAAAAAGACAAACAGTTAAGCGCTACAGAGCAAAAATGTCACTTTGTACTTGATATAGATGAGTTTGGAAAGGGTCACTGGTGCTCCTCCAGACAAAGATATGTCAGAGGGAAACTTACATTACTCTGAAAAAACGCAACTTTTAAGAAACCTTATAAAGCTAAAACATATTGACTCCATGAAACTCAAACCGTTGGTCTAGCAGTGACTCCTGAAGAGCTACAGAAGCCCCAAGACCAGCCAGGCAAATCTGCATGCAAATGTCAGCTTCTATATTCCTACAATAACAGGTTTACCTTTAGGGCAACAATGAATACAGTAAATTCTGCACCATTTACATAAAGTATTTTACTAAAAAAACTTCCATCTTTTCTTCAGGAACCCGCCAAAACGATTTTTTCTTAAAATGCATTTAAACTTTACCAGATCCCACTTGTATGAAATTATCTACTTGCCAAATCAATGCTGAGAAGCCCTTCCCCCGACTATTGCCCTTCATCATTAGCTATAAGTGAAAACAAGAGACTTAAGGTCTCTAGTTAGCTGAATTATAGAAAAGAAAAATACTCACGGGCTCTATCAGCATCCTTCGCCACCTCTGAAAGGTATCGGTAATAGTCCCCCTTCATTTTTAGGTAAAATACTTGGCACTCTGGTTGCGAGGCTTTAGGAATTAAAAACTCCTTAAGCAGGGTCTGGAATAAGAAAAAACAAAAACTAAATATAAATTTTAAAGTGAATGTAATATGGACAAAGCGATATAAATAATAAGCACACACACACCACAATTTACCATGCAAATCATGAAACCTAGTAACTTGTAGGGATCTTCCAAATTATTGCTAGTGCCTCATCTAACCCAGTTCCAAAGTACGGTATATCAGATCCCCCTCAGTCTACATGAATGTCAAACATGTACAACCCTAAAATAAACACTCTAAGGACCTATAACCTAAGATCACGGCATATCAAAGACTAGAATTTTAACAGTTGGTCTGACTGGCATCCTCTGGTTATCTCTTTCAGAGTTGTCTGTGTCTGTTCCAAGCATACCAATTATGAAGGAATTCTGGAGGCTGCCATTGCTGAACTCTGCTTATGAAAAAGATTATGTTGCCTGGCTGTCATATTCATGCATTTCCTTTACACTTTTTCCAGGTTACTTAAAAAAAAAAAAAACCAAATAGAAGGAATTATGACACTTGTCTGACACTGATCACAGCATACTTGTTCTGGGTCTCGCTCAAAGTATTGAAGCTGGAAACCGCTAGGCAACAGACCAGATTACAATATGACAGGTGCACTTTAATTGTACTAACAAGTACAATGCTACACAACCAGAAAATAATCGGGGGCGAAAGCATCGATTAGGGTTTAAATAGGAACAAAATCAGGACAGGCACACAGATGTTGCTTTAATAAAATGCAGGTCAAAGGACCTCCTCCCTCCCCAGCAACAGGGCGTACTACACATGCCTTTTGTAGTTTCTTTGGGCGTACATAACATGCCTAAAGTCGACAACAGGTTAAAAACAGTACACAGCCGTTCAGGTGTTTTACAGTATTACTGCAACAGTAAAGATGTGAATGGGTTCGAGAGGGATACAAAGAAAGAACATTTAGTGGTGTTCCTAACCCCGCTGGCAGACACCATTGAATAGGTAAGTTCAGCATAAGTCAAAACAACGAGGAAGTGGTATTGCTGTAGGGGGGACTCCACTGAGTCCACTACACCAGAAGGATATTGCCTCACACACACTTATGCAGGAAACCTCTGGGGACTGTCCTGGGAGCCCCCCGTCATAAGTACCTCCTCAGGTCCCGACCCTGTATGCCATACTCCATGCCGAGGGTGGGCCCCTGCTTACCAGCACGTAGGCCTAGCTAAAAGTAACAAATGTTACGATGTCCTGCTTGGCTGGAGGAAACACAAAATAACAGATGCAAGGCATGTGATCTTTTTTTTATTAGGGGTGGGTGATGCGTTTAACTGTTTCGGTGGGAGGAGCCTATCTGATGCTGTCCTGGAAGGTGACTAAAGAACATTTATACACACAAAACAGTCGCCTGCTTGGCTGTCGTTGGTTTCAACACTTCAAGAAAAAGTAGAGCCTATAGTCAGAAGTCCTGAATTTTGAAGATACTCTGTAGTACAGGTTTACTTTAAACATGGAGTCATGCATCTGTGGAATCTTTGAGGAGAGAGAGAGATCAACATCCCACCCCCTCTTCCAGTCACAGAACTCTTGGGTTCCTGTAGTGAGGATGGGTGGGAAGGTGACTAGAGCACTACACTTCTCCTGTCACATCACTCCCCACAGCGCTGGGATGCAGGAGCCGGCCTTCCGCTGCATTATTGTTTATCCGATTAACCGATTAATCGAACTTAATAATCGGCTAACTAATCGATTTTGAAAATAATCGTTAGCTGCAGCTCTAATTCAGAGATATTTATACTTTGCAGCAACCCTCCACATATAACATGCAGTATTTCAGTGACCAATCCACAATGCGGTGGTGTGTGAATTATTCTTTCCCCAGAGTTTGGCTTTAACCTTTTTTTTTTAAAACACAACTGCACAAATAGAACATTTAGCCCCCAATCACACCAGAGTGTTTTGTCGCATGTCTTGTTGAGCTACAATGGTATTCTCAATAGAACCTGTTCACACCGGAGACGGGGAGGTACGGGTTTAAGATTCATGTTTTTAGCATGAGTAACTCCAGCCCAAGTTTATACATCTTGAATATCCCAACTGATAACCAGATTAAATAGCATTGTGACAGGGGCATACAAAAGTAATTTCTGTTGACTCTAAAGACAGATTCTGAGGGTAATGTATTAAAAATGGAGCAGTCAAAACCTGGAGCTGCTGTGCATGGCAACCAGTCAGCTTCTCGCTTCCGTTCACTTAAAGGGTTATTAAACCCTCCAGTGTTTTTTTCATATATCTACTGCTAGCAAGCAGTAGATATATGCAAAAACTTTAAAATAAAAACCCAAAAAAACACAACCCATTTGAAACCCGGTTAAAAAAAAAAAAAAAGTTCAGTTCAGATTTTCAGCCGGGAGACGAGGAGAGACACAAGGTAAGTCTATGGACGCGTGCACTCGCATGCAGACATCGTGGGACAGGAAGTGCCAGCAAGCACAGAGGAGTCAGCGGCGCTGATCAGAGACCTGCAGCAGCGCTGGAGAGAAGGCTGAAAAGGACAGGAAAGATCGGATTAAGAGACATCATTTAAGGTAAGTGCTGAACTAACATTGGGGGGAGGGAAACATTTTCTTTTAGACTTTGTCACTTTAAGATTTGAAAATGAAAAAGCGGATTGGTTGCCATGCAAAGCTGCTCCAGTGTTGATAAATTCCCTTCTTTGTTTTGTATAAACTGCCACAATACCCTATAAAAAAGGGAGTGTGAAGGGTATGATGGCTGGCAGTATGTGCAGGAGGGAAAGGAACACAAAGCAGTAAAAGAAGAATTTGTGTATTATATAGGATAGTATTTTGAGCCAGAGGAAAAAAAAGTTCAACTTGTTAGTAACCTACATGGCCAAATTTAGATGCAACTGTAAATGCTGGGATAGGATGTGTGCCGCTGAATTCTTTGAAAAGATTGAATTAATAGTGGTTGAGAACATTGCCTTGTAAGGTAATACAATGGATTCTTAAAAGTGCATCTGAACCCAAAAACACAAATGTAATATTGCAGGTTACCATTCCTTAGATGCAGTGGCTGCAATGGTTTGCTTTTTTGCCCCCCCCTTATTTTCCCCTCGTAATCCTGCAAACAATTCCTGTTTCATGTCCACGCATTTTTCATCCACTGTTCCTATAGGGGTAGCGACAGGCGTCACTCAGGCTGGACAAACATGTCCGTCTCTGTTCATCTGTAATAGGATCCGTGTCAACATGCTTCCGTTTGGAGGGTTCAGGTGGGTTTTGCATACCCATCAAATAGAGTCTATGGGAATGCAAACCTGCTTGAAGGTCATCAAATGCTCCCGTCAATGATTAGTAATGTCTCAAACTGATGCAATGGACATGGGCCCCTATATGGTGAATTAAAGGACTAGTAGCTTACGCAATAGAGAACTTCCTTTTTGCTTCATTTAAAGCACAGAGAAGTGACACCAAATTTCTAGCAAGATCAAAAAGGTATTTTCTGTACTCGCTGAAAAAAAGTTAAACTGAAAAGTGGAAAATGTTGTAGCCACCTCATCTAAGAACTGGTAAGTAGCTCTAGTACCTAAGGCCCCGTTCCCACTGAGCGATATGCAAATCGCGTGATTTGCATATTGCGCGACATCGCGAGATTTGCCGTGCGATGTCGCGTTCAAGCTTGCATTGAGCGGCTAAATCCGCTCCAAAAAGGGTCCTGCTGTAGCGACACGACAGCAGGACCCTTTGCCCCATTGGATTGCATTGGAGCGCGATATCAAGCGGTAATTTGCCGCGATATCGCGGGAAAAAAAAAATCGCTCAATGTGAACGGGGTCTAAGGTGAAACCATGGTTTTGTTTTGGCCAGTAAACAGTTATTTTTGCCACCAGGACAAATTTTTAAAAGGAGAATTGACATCCATGGAGCCGAGTGCTCTTCACTCAATCTGAGCCGACCTGTGACAATGAGACTGTCACAGGTCGGCTCTATAGATCGGGAAGTGACAGAACACATACCGGCACTCGCTCACTTCTCGATCCTGTCACTGCAGAGAGCCGTGACAGGGGAGTGACTGGATTCTCCCCTCCTGTCTGATACTCCAGCGCTGGCTGAACAGATGGGGAGGGTACAGCTGGCTCTGCCTCTAGATAGGCAGAGCCAGCTGTCACTCATGCAGCTGGGCGGATCCAGACAATTGTCGGGATCCGTTTCAGCTGCGGCGTCTCAGTATACGGCGAGCTGTAGCTCGCCGTATACCGAGCTTTGGGTAGCGGGAGGAAGCTAGTTTATGCCCCGATGCTGGCGACGTACACTGTACGTCGTCAGTCACGAAGGGGTTAAGCTCAACTGATAGAAATCTGCCTCAAATTCTTGCAGCACGGCCCCTTCACACCAGAACATGGCACACTGCAACATGCAAAACTGAAAAAGAATGCGCTAGATCCAGATTGAGAATCCCATCTCAAACTTTACAATGTCGGTGAAAAATACTTACACCTTCATCCCATGTGGGCCCTATGACATGTATTGGGAAAAAGAATTACCCAAGTCAGTTGTGCACCAAACTGTTTAAATGGACTGCCGGTGGACTCCGAGGGGATAGCCCATACCCAAGAAAAGGACTATTCTTACTATTAGAGTCCCCACCATTCATATTCTAGAATAGAATTCTTGATGAAACACTCTTCCCTCCCTTATGTTTCCAATGTCGCCATTGGCACCACAACAATGTCAGGCCATGCCGCTGTCCATTTGACCGTCACTCTCGATGCAGGCTCCAGACCCCATTAGTCGCAGCGGCTCAATGACTCCTTACAGGAAGCTGCACTGGAGGTTTCTCTACACAATGAACTGGAACAGTTCTTTGTTGATAATGGTATCCCAGGCCAGAATCCCTTGACCCTTTGGGAAACACACAAATGCGTTATGCGAGGGCTATTACAAAAGGGTCATGGCTTAAACGACAAAGCGCCAAGCAGGTATAGGAGTTGTATGCCAGCTCTGAGGGCACACCTACTCAGTCAGTTTTCC